GACTTGTTTTAACTGCTTCAGATTTAATCTGATCATGCAGATGAGCAATCGATGTTCCATAGTGGACCCCTTTCAGTAATTAAAAATTAATGATGATGCTGGTAAAGAATATTGAAAGTATTATGGATTGCTAAAAGGACAGACAGATTGGTATTGAGAGCTTTCCCCCTTTTCGATGGCTCTGTAGTTTACTAGACCAGACCAGTCCATCTGCAGGGACTGGTTCCTCCAAATAACATGTCTACAGAACCTAAGACAGAGCTTCCCTGAAGGACGGGGAAGGAGCACTCTAACCGTACTGCTCCCAAGCCATATTTGATTGTCCTGTTGGCAGTCCATGGCATTCCCATTCTTCTCCAGGACCACAATTCAAATGCAACGGTGCTTCTTCAGTCTTCCTTGCTCCATGTCCAAATATCACACTAATCTGATATGAGGCAATTGAAGGTACCCTGGCTTGGTTATGGAGCACCTGAGTCGCCAATGTAACATCCTTGCTTTTCAATCCTCTAAAGAAATCTTGTGCAGCAGATTTACCCAATTCAATACATCTTTTGCTCTGCTGACTACTGCTTTTTTGACCCCTGATTGTGGAGCTAAGTAAGAAAATATCCTTGATAACTTCAATCATTTCTCCATATATCATGATGTTACCTACTGGTCCAGTTTAAGGGCTTCTTTACACTGAGTTGTAATCCAGAGTGGACTGAAGTCTGTGATCGTCCTCAGTAAGCGCTTCAAGTCCTCCTCACTTTCGGCCAGCAAGGTTGTGTCATTTGTATTTTACAGTTTATTAATAAGACCATTTCCACTTCTAATGCCACATTCTTCTTTATGTGATCAAGCTTTTTTGATGATTTGCTCAGCACACAGCTTGAATAAATATGATGAGAGGATAGATACACCCCTGATACACACCTTTCCAGGTTTTAAACCATGCAGTAGTCCCTTGTTTTCACAACTGCCTCTTGATCCATGTACAAGTTCACATGAGCGCAATGCAGTGTTCTAGAATTCCCATTCGTCTCAAGGCAATCCATAGTTCAAATCCTAGTTCAGCCACTTGACAACTTTATTGCCTGAGATAAGTAAACACCTGTGCTTCAACTTTTTCGTCTATAAAGTTTGACTAGTAACAGTACTTATATCGTAGTTATGTTGTAAAGTTTATATATTTGATCCACATAAAGCTATAGAACACAGTGCCTATTGCATAAAAATTATTGAATAAATAGTAGTTAAATTCTGTTATCATTTTTTCCCTATCAACTCTAATTAGCAAATTCTAATTCTACTTTGACTGGTACAACTATTGCATTCACCTGTCTGTACCTGTAGCTGATGCCCTTGTTTACCCTTCCTCAATTAGAGAAATTCATCAGAAGAAAGGCACCCTTCTCTGCGACTGCAGTAGACATAAGTGTAATGGCCACACTGGTGATGATAAGGCAGATAAAAGACCTTAACTGAAGCTAACACAGTTGATTTCTTGTTTGCCAAACTTCTCTAAATACAAGAACTATCTGTAGTACCCAAAACCAAACCCATTGCTTTTTAGTCAGTTATGTCTCAGAATAAAACTTTTCCATGTGGTTTCTCAGGCTGTCTTCTTTACAGAAACAGATTGCCACATCTTTCTCCCATTGAGGGACTGGCTGGTTTGAATTGCTGACTTTTGGCTTAACAGCCATGTGCTCTACCACTGTGCCACCAGGGCTCCTGACAACGATGGTAACGTGTATAAAACACAATGGCCTATGCCAATGCAGAATAAGACTCTCCAAAGACAGGGTTGGGAAAGCTGTAAGATTAGCAAATGCCTTTGGTGAGTCCTGTCAACAGGGAGTTTGGGAAACACTAATCTATTCCTAGGTGGGTCTTCTATTATTTCAGCTAAAGTATACTACTTGATGGAGACCGTAATGGCACAATAGATGTGTTTGATTACTACTTGATTTCTATTCAAAGCACCCAGAGGCACATCTAAATAAACAAACACAGAAAGCACAGTGCTCCACTTCCAAAAGCCACAGCCATGAAAATCCTATGAAGCATAGTTCTTCTCTGAAATGCATGGGGTCACCAAGAATAAGTGACAGCTTGACAGTTGGTGTCAGGTATAAACTACCTGATATAACAATGTCCCTGGTCCTTTGGTTATGCCACTAATTTTAGACTACTATAACTTTCCAGAGCTCCTAGAATTGGACAAAAGTGAAATAATCCATCATATTCCAAATATAGAGGCTGTAACGATAAGGTCGCTATGAGTCAAAATCCACCCATTGGCAGTGGGTTGAGTTTGTTTGGAACTAGCATTAAGTTGTCCTCCATGCTCCTTTCTCAAAGATCCCAATTTATTGAACACATTAGTGTCTGCAGTGAAGTGTGGGCATCAAGAGTTACTCAAACACCCTCAAAAGGTGAAAGTGACCATGTTGGATTTATAATACTCCCAAATAGACACAAAGAAGGAAATCCTGAAATGAAATCCATGAACTAGACGTGCTTCCATTGGGCTCTTATGCTAGTCACTCTGTCTAACTACTGTTCTTTGCCTTTTAGGATTTGGAGTTCCTGACTCTGTTAGACCTATCTTAATACCTTCTATGCATGGGTACTTGCAACTTATCTTGCTGCCTGCTCAGATAGCTCCCGAATCATTAACAGAGCCTGGCCCTGCACTTCGCAGTCTAGCTGTAAACTGCTAGTGTCAGACCACATCTACATTCAGGAGGAGGGGTGAGAAGAAGCATCAGTCCATAGCTGTTTCCTACAAAGAGTAGGTCAGACATAGCTCTGCTCTCCAACTTTTTCATCGTTTCTGACCTCTGTTGCTGCACCCCAATCCCCAAGGATACTTTGTAGTCCTCTGCAAGTGTGGTAATTCATTGCCATGAGGGCCACCAAGCAAGTATCACAGCTCTTTATCTCTGTTGACAACTGCCGGGAGGCACCCCACTCTGTCAGCAAGCCTCTTGCGGGATGGTGCTTAGCTCTCCCTCATTCTGCGTCTACAAGCCTGCACTGCAGGTGCCTTCCACTTGTACTGCTGCCTTTATTTTTCTGCTGCTGGGCTCTGCTGTGATTTCTGCTGCTTATTGAATTCTTCAATGTTACATCTGGTTCTAGGAGGTTCTCCATGCAGAGACCCCGGGTCCCCAAAATAGACTCCATTCCACGCTATGCTTGATGATACTGAGGTTCCTCACTCCGACCTCCGGGGTATTGGCCCATATGTAAACCTACTCTTTGTCAATTGGGAGCCATGGTCTTCCCACCCAGACTACGAACTGATCAATCTCCTTAGTAAGGCACAGTCACTTAATTTGTAGTTATTGATCAATTCCTGCAAGGTCATGTAATCGCATTGGGTGGCTGTACACATTCTGTTTGCATAGTAGACTGATCAATCCCTGAAAGGTGCATAACATAGACTAATAAGATAGACACACTGTGGTCCAATCAATTGTTTTGGGCAGAATTATAAACTAAAGGCTAGTGTATTAGTCTGGGTACTTTGGAGAAACAAATATACAGCAACTCATGTATAAGAGAGAGTTTTATGCAAAGAAAATGTGCATCACGAAAACATCCCAACCCAATGCTGCCCAAGCCCACAAGTCCAACATTAACCCATACCCAACACCAGTCCACAAAGTCCTTCACCTCACAAAACAGAGGCAATAATGCCGACTGCAGGAGGAAAGCTGAGTCAGTGAACGTGTAAGCATCTCAGCACTGGCAGGGGTCTCCACACGGCTGCTCCAGCACCCAGGGCTGCATCGGGATAGATCCATGCGGCTTCTCCTTGGGGATGTCTTGTAGGAAATCCATCTTGCAAGCTGAAGCAGGGAACTGCTAAGGCAGCTGCACCCGATGCAACCATCACAAAACAAGAGACCCGAGAACTAGAAAGGCGAGGCTTCACCACCCATTTATCCCTCCGCCTTTCAACCAGCACCACATGTGATTATCGGCCAGGCTGGCACAATTAACTAACTCAGCTAGAAAGGTCATACATAAGAGAAGCCCACTGCAGCATCTTTACTGAGGACTGAACTCACTAGGTTTCTGTTTCTGCCCAAACCAGTCATTCTACATATAAAGTGTTACACTCTAAGTAAAGACTACATTTTATTTTGTAATTTTCTTTACTCTTTAGTTTTAAACTTCTTGAGGGTTTTGAAGTCCTTTGCCTGATATATATCTCACCGAAGTTCACTTCCACTTTCTTTCATGTTACAATGTTCTGTTTTTGTGACTTTCCCTACACCAACTCTGCCGTGAGGGTGAAACCTGTCTTGTCCCCCTTATTATTTCAGTAGCCATGCCAGTGATTTACACGTAGTAGGCATTCCAAAATTGCTTATTAAAGAAAGAAGGAATGAATGAACTCAAGTAACATGAAGCCCAGAAAAGAGTGCACCATCATGTGCCGACTGGCCCATTGATAAATATACCCACTAACTGACTAGCGAGAAGAGCAACTGTAAAGATAACAAATGGCGGCACTTTTCCCGGGCTAGATTGATTACACGTATTACCGTGGCTATTTATTTCCTGCAACATTTTTCATTACGGGGAATATTAATGAGCTAACAAGGACCCTATCTCTGTTTATCTCCTTTCCCATTTTAACAAGTCATTCCAATGCTAATTGACAAATCTTTGGATTTATAATAACCTGGCCACTGTGGAAATAGCAATGTGGTGTAACATTTTTAGTACTCTGTGCAGAAATAATTAGTAGGGCTTCTTGTTAAAAAATTGAAAGCATGTCCATAACAAAGACTATCAATCTGTAGATAGATAGGATTTTCAGATATGTATATACACACAACCAAGCTGTGAAATACCCATGTGTATATGTACAGAGCAGACCTGGTGGCATAGTGGGTTACACGTTGGACTGTTAACTTCAAGGTCAGCAGTTAAAAACCACCAGCCGCCCAGCAGGAGAAAGTAGAGACTGTTTGGTTCAATAAGGAACTGCATTTATGCTCACTTCGGCAGCACATAGACTAAAATTGAAACGATACAAAGAAGATTAGCATGGCTCCTGTGCAAGGAAGACACAAAAATTTGTGAAGTGCTCCACATTAAAAAAAAAAAAAAAAAAGGAATTATCATCTTAGAAACCTGAAATGCAGTTCTACCCACTCTTATAGGGTTACTATGAATCAGTATCTACTTGAAGGCAGTGAGTTTGGGTTTATATATATATATATTTGGTAAATTATATAATGCTAATGTAGATAAAAAAATGAAAAGTTTAAAGGAATTCTATATAAAATGTTGGCTTCTTACTAGGTTAGCCAAACACTTATGCAATGGCTACTGATCTAAAGTTTGGTGGTACAAATTCACCTAGAATCTATGTCTTCAAAGAAAGCCGTGGTGAGCTGCTTTCGAAAGGGCACAGTGAGTGAAAACTCTGTTCTGAAACATATGAGATCACCATGAGTTAGAATCAAGTTGACAGCAACTGTTTCTCTCTCTCTTTCTTTTCCCTTAAGGTACTTATAACCTGCCTGTGTTGAGAAGGTATGTAGAGTTTAAACTGTAGATTCATTTAAACTGAGTCTATATCACAAGATAACATGACTATCTAATAATTTATGCTTATATTAATGCATAGCAGAATAGATATAATTTATATTACATACACATTTCTACTTTCCTGTGGTATGCTTCATTTAGAAAAATATATCTTAAAGATTGCACAAAGGAGAGATGGAAGAAGATAGCATCCAGTTAGATTTACCAACCTGGAGCTCCTGCTGCCAGACCAGAAAATTGGGAGGTTAAGGTGAAGAAGACTAGGAATAAGAGTCCTAAAATTAGAATCAGGTTACTAGGGTCTGTCATGAACCTCGCTTTTTTTTTCCACTCACAAAGTGAATGGAGAACACACTAAAACACTCTAGGTTCATTGGGCTGGGCTTGTGGGCTCCAGACAAAGCAGCTACCAGCGCTCTAGTCAGGCAGCGAGTAGCGATTTCCCCAGACTGACGTCCAAAAGGGGTCATAACCCCAGACTCAAGGATAACCTATGAAAGCTCTCACAGGACCCCACACCAGAGCTCCCCATGCTGTTAGCTGCCTTGTGCTCATAGCCTGGGGGTCAGGGTCAGCACAGGTAGCCATAGATTTGGAGCAATTGAAAGATGTCAGGAAATTTACCCAAGTCAGATCATGGTGTGGCAGACCATAAGCAGGTAGCCATAGCCCAGGGGCGAATTCAGTTCCAGCTGGCCAGGCAGCAAACAACTCTGATAAGTTAGCTCTCCTCCTCTGGGAGTCGGCGTGACAACCCTGAAGTCAGGGCACCCCATAAGCCCAATATAAAAAAGAAAAAATATACATTTTCTCAGTAAAACCTGCAAATCCCCGGCTCATTGTTTAACTACAAGACAAACTGGCAGAATGAGTCTGCTAACATACATTAGCATAATAAGGGAGCCAATGCTAAGGAATAGCCAGAAGTTAGCTACAGAACCCAGAGGATTTCAACATAAGAAAGATCCTATGGAGCAAATCTCAGTCTCAGAATGTATCACTGAGCACATACCCAGACCCCAGAGCCAGGGGCCCAATTTAATTTAACTTAATTACAGCTGGCCAGGGGAAAAACAAACAAACAAAAGCCTCAGAGCTGTTGGGGCATCAGCGGTCTTGGCACAAGCTCGGGCAACTCTCCGCAAGCT